TACAATAGCTCTGAAGTGGAGCCATATATTGAGTATGTATTTAAATTTAATTACGTTTATGCATAATCGTTTCATTTTATTTCGAACTCTCTAAGTTAATTACATGTATCACATTTCCTTGGGTAGGGAGCAGAAGAATATTTTACATAATCTACAAGGACGTGACATAACTCGGGTACGACGAGAAGAATTTCCAAAATGGTTCAAAAATCGTGTAAGATATACTAAAGAAAATAATTGAATACAATTGTTGTAACTTTCAATTCGCATTAACTTAGTACACTTGATATATGGTGTTTTATGTAGATGAATGATTTGCGAACGAAAGGATCACCTGAAGCAACTGACGAATTATGGTCATTAGCAAATGATCCTGGATCGGTAATTGAGTTTTATTCTGGGTGCATCTACAATGGAATTCGATTCCATACTAGAAATCGTGAAAATCGTCGTACCTACCAAAATAGTGGGTTGGTCGTAGAAGGGGACCATAATGGGAACCAAATTAATTTTTTACAGATACTTGTGCAAAATATGGGAATTGAAATACTTGCATGCGGGTACAGTGGTTTTGTTCCAATGTGAATGGTATAACACAGGTCACAAGAATAGAATATACTCCGATGAACATGTCACAAGTATTGATGTTACAAGACTTTGGTATAAAGATAACTAATTTGTTCTACCTAGTCAGGTAAGAGAAGTATTCTACGTCAATGATACCAACAAAGGCAAAAATCGGAGAGTCGTTGAACGTGTTAAGCATCGGGGAGTGTGGGATATACCAGAGCGGGATGATGTCTCTAATGATGCTTTTCAACAAGATGAAACCACTGATGGTGTTGGGGTAGTGATCCAAGATAATGATGTTCAATACAGCAGGGATGATATGGATCTTGAGATCATGTTCAATGATCAACTAATGGCAGAGAATTTAGTTCACAATGATGATGAGGATGACACAATCATAGAGTATAATGATGATGAAGATGATGAACTGCATAGACAACCTGATGTTGATGCAGATCCTGATATAAATCTTGATATAGATTATGATATGTAGTGTTTGCTTTTTTATTATATGGACAAGTGTTATAATTTAATAATAAATTGCTTGGTTTACATTGCATGGCATTGTTTTTCAAATTTCATAGTATTGTTTCTTATTTCATTTCATTTAATTATATGCCATATCTACAGTTACAAAGATGTCCAAAAATAGTAAATCATTTATGAAGCCCGACGGCTTGGTCCAGAAGATGACGAAATATGAGAAGGATAGAAAAAAAAACAATTCAAAAAAATAAAATCATATTTGATGCTCTAGGGATGAAGTCCTTCAAGAATTCAATGTTTGGTTCTATTGAAAAGGACAATAGTGAAAGTTGTAAGGTGGGAAAGAGAAAGGTGGGCGAAACTAATAATGACGAGGACTATCAACCACTTGATGATGATGAAGGACAGAGTTCTTCAAGTGATAATGGCGAGCCTTTTGATTCTCAAGTGATTAAGGTAATAGATGTGTGTATAAAAAGTAATTTCTCTATTTTTTTCACTTGTTATATTACTTGTGGTATGTCTAGTTATTTCAAATTTATTTTTTATTAAGCAACCTTAAATTATTGAAAATGTACTAACATTTCATTTTTATATTATGTCAGTATATTCATATGGGTCCCAGTAAGAGAACAAATAGGTGTGCAGCTCGCCTAATAGCTTCACAAACACATAGGGAAAAGAGAAGTACTGTTGATGAAGATACACTTAGTTTTCCGAGATGACCTGTAGCTGCACAAGTTAATCATTCAGAGAGCACACCTAAGGTCTTGACCCAACCTATCCATCTTCTCGCCTTATATACTAGGCCCGATTAGCTCCCTACCTTCGCCACTCAACCTGACCACCTTTCAAGTCCATGTACTATGACTAACAGTGGAGGTGAGAAATAAATGACCACTTAAATGAAATGATAATTTCTTATCTCAATATTTATTTAGTGCATTCATGTTTTATGTCGACTAAATTAAATAAAATTTTGGTCATAATAGCATCAATTCCAGTTTTGGGCAAGAAACGTGTACGAGGACCGACTCGAGGAAAGAATATGGAGAAGATTAAAAAGGAACGTAGTGATCGAATACCCATTACACTTAACCGTTTGACCAAAGTAATAGAAGGGGATTACGCCATACCTCTAGCAGCTGCTCTTGGTCAACAAATTCGAGTTCATGCCCCAGTCCGAAATGATGGATGGCTAGAAATTGCCTTTGGGTTAAGAGAGTCCATTGTTACAAGAGTTAGGGTAATTTGAAATATATGTGTTATATATTTAACATGTTATTTATGTTAATTGCAATGATATATAAAATATATTGAATTTTATTGTTTCCAATTGCAGCAAACTTTTGAATTTGGGGACTACAATAATGATGTGGATGTGAGATGTATTATTGATCATAAGTGCCAAACTTTGTACAATGAATGGAAAAGTAGATTACACACACACTACAAATCCCTTAAAGAAAACAAAGTATCTGACCTCAAAAGTCAGACATTATATCCTTGTACAAAGGATGATTGGGAATGGATGATTGACAATCTATGGAAAACTGATGATTGGAAGGTATTTATAAAAATATTTACTAAAGTAACATTCTCCTGTATATTAATTAATGTTACCTATTTTTGTTTTTATTTGTAGGAAAAGTCAGAGAATGCGAGAGGTTGTGTGAAGTATAATCGTACGAGCGGCTCGAGATCATTTACATCGCAAGCATCTATCCTTGTAGGTGTAGATTTACAAATTTGAACATACTAAATTATAAATACATAATTATTGATTGACTAGAAAATCTAATGAAATGAAAGGTACAATGAAGCAAACCGACTATTACGAAACTATTCGAGGACACCCACAAACGTCACCGACATGGGGGAGTGTGGATAAATAACACGGCTGAGGAACATCATGTAACCATAACTATTTCAATTTCAATAATAAATGTTTGCATTTTGATATTATGTTTTAAGCTTATTTATGTTTCATTCATAGGCCACTATGGTTTCAAAGATCGCTAAGCAATCTCAACCTAGTGTCACACATCCATTGTCTGAGGAGCAGATTTCCAGGGAAGTACTTGGGAAGAGTTCGGTCTACTTGAAGGGATACGGGATCCGCAAGGACAGTGCTTCATCTTCTACACATTTTGAGGCTCCTAACTCTGAGGTGATTGTTCTTCAACAGCAATTAGTTGACCAGCGACAACAATTAGCTGACCAAGGAAAGTAGTTACTTGACTAGGCTCAAAACATGAGTACAATGCAAACTATAATTCAAATGTTGGCAGCAAAAAATGGGATAGATCTAGCAAACATTCCGGGGTTAGTTCCAAGCAACAATGTCGGGGAGGATGCATCAGGTGTAAAGGAGGATGAAACTTTTCTCGGTTGAAATAGAGGTAAATTTGACACCTCATTAAATTGATTTACTTTATTTAACCAATCCTAACATGTGTCAACAATATAAAATTATATAAACTTTGTATTACAATCCTAGCATTACAACCTTTGTATACAATAGCTTGATAAAACAATAGCTTCACAACAAATTTCTGATTAATTTTTACTATATTTGTATATTATTGCTCTCTTTTTAAAACATCATATAAGGGGTTCTTTTAGAAAAATAAAAACTATTAGGTACCATAAAATAATTTAGAAGAGACACTAATATAATTTTACAAGAGATATATTAGACCATCTCCAAAGGTTAAGCAAAACCATCACTAAATTTGAATTTAGTGAAAAAAAATAACTTTTTTGGCTCCAACAGTTTAATCAAACTGATATCAAAATGAAAACCGTCAAAAAATTTCACCAAACTAAGGAGCTGGGCAGATTTCATCAAAACACTGTGCGTTTACGTTGGAGGTGGGTCTCACCGGACAACCGGCCAGATGTCCCACTAGTTGCCCCACCGGTTGTCCCATAGGACGTCCCACCGGTTGTCCCTTGCATGGTCCAACCCATTTCTTACACTGATACATATAAAGTGGGTTTCTAGTAAAATGGTAGCTCTGGTACACAGCTTTGGAGAAATCCATTTATCTCTACAAATAGAGACTACTTCCTCTAGTTTAGAGGCAACAACCCATCCCTATTTGCTTGCTAAGTTCAGTTGAGAGTGGTGGTTTTGCTTTTAAAAGATTGGGCTAGAGAGAAAAGTGAAAACGCTGGGGCTTTTTTTGGAGGAATGTGGGTGAAAAAAGATGTGGGGTTTGTGCCAAAATGAAGGTTTTGTGGGTTTTGATCAGCGGTCGCCGTAACGGTGGCGGTGACGCGGTTGCGGTTGCGGGGTGTAAAGGCCGTAGTGTAACGGTTGCGGTAACCGGAACCGCGAATTTTTTTATTTTTCGCACAATTTGAAAAAAACTTACCGATACGCATA